AATGTATTAATATCTTTTATGTGGTGAAGAAAAACGAATAAAAAATATTCAAAAATAAAAAACTAAAAAGATAAAGGAAAAGAGTAATCATGAACTTATGTTATTTTAAATAAAAAATCTTTTAAAATAGATACGTTATACTATAAGTCTCTTTCAAAATTCAAGAAAATAAATTGTAAAATATTGATTCTTACATATATTAGTGCATATTTCCTTATAGGTTTAATAAGGATGTTTAAAACAAAATGTTAAAGGTTTCAAATCAGATTGATAGAAGCAAATTTTCTCACTATGGTCTCTATGGCTTAACATGACTAGGAATGTTCTGTCTCATTTGATTTATTTTTTTTATAATTTTATTTTACGCATTTTAATTTTATGGTTGAGACATTAAATAAGGATAAAAAATCTCTATATTTGAACATTTTGATTTATTAGTTAGTGTATAATCTCTTATTTAAAGAGTATGGTTTAAATCTCCTATTTAAAGAGTCAAATTCGAATCCCTCTTCTCTTAATTAAAAAAAATAAAAAATTAATAATGATTGGGTCCATGCTATGCTTTGGCTTGGTACTATATATGTCTTGGTTCAATATTTTCTTGTTTCAAAAAGTATGTAGGTAAGAAAATTCGCAAAATACAAAAATCAATATGATGGTATTGGTGGTTGTGGTTTCTATAGCTTGGTTTATTTCATATTGAATAGATTATTAATGTGTTTATTTACAATTTCATCTTTAATTTTTTTATCACAAACAAAAAATTGATCATTGAATTTACATGTTATATATATATAAAAGAATTAATTAAGTAACCTTCTCTCTTCTCGTCCTTATAAATTTCAACCTAATCTCCTCAAGATTATAACATGAAATCTCTATAGTTTTATCTTTGAGCATTGTATTTATGATTTGCCTTTTTGAATAAAAGAGACGATACATTACTATGATTAAATTTGAAATTGAGAGTATTTTTTACACAAAAGTGTTCACATTTGACATTCTTTACCTTTCTTATGAATTACGTAGATTTTTTTTTAAAAAAATATTTATCAATTATTATTTTTTATGGGATACTAAGTCTGCTAAAGTGGTCCTAAGGTAGACAACAAAGATTTAAAGGACAGTTGCAAAGATGTGGTACTTAGTCTTAACCCTTGGGTTGGGTGGTTTAGATTAGCACAGAGGGAGAGGTCCCCCCCCATCTTCCTATCGCCCCTACGGCTTGATACCACAGGAATCGGCATGTTTCATGACCTAAGTTTTTTTAATAGGAATTATCAAATCATTTTCCTTATTGTCT